TCTCTCTCTCTCTCTCTCTCTCTCTCTCTCGGAGAACATGGAAACTCCAAACAGGAATTCCGCAGCCGGGATCGAACCCGGTACCTCTGTACTGTGAGGTCGCTGCGCTAACCACTGGATCACTGCGCCGCCCTGTTTTGGAGATTTACAAATACATTTCTGATTTACGCATGTTATTTCAAAATGTGTTTGTGCATTTATCATGACTTATCATTTGTGAATATTCTGTTCTGCTTGTGAATTGTCGAACATAGTCTGGTAGACCAAAAGTTACATTAAGGTGATATCATATTTTACATACATTGCCTCAATTTGGTTTTAATTCCTGAAATTCCTGAAATAAATGTGACGGTCGTCAGTCGCTTTCATAAAAATTTTTTATCATGGATGCATGAATATATTTAAACACGACTAAGCTATTTTTTTTCGATCTTGCTTTCATATCAGGAAAGCAATTTCTGTTTTTATTTAACTTACTAATGGCGGGTTGTCCACTTTGTTCAGCCATGGTTGGTTTCACGAAAATTTCAGCTTGGTACACCAGATAAACTGTTGGCTTCCCATAAAATAAATTGCAGTGAATTCATCAACGGAAATCGCAACACTGCCTCCTGTTGGACGGCGAAGGGCGGGCCTTTCGACCCGTGAATATCTCAGGCGTGTGTGTGTGTGTGTGTGTGTGTGTGTGTGTGTGTGTGTGTGTGTGTGTGTGTGTGTGTGCGCGTGCGTGCGTGCGTGCGTGCGTGCGTGTGTGTGTGTGTGTGTGTCTTGTAAAACAATGTGATGTTTGTCTCAAAAACAAACGCGAATGTTTGCTCATCCGCAAACACACATTCGACAGTTCACAAGCAGTGTCAAGCTTTGCATGGTGGTAGTTGTTGGGGGGACTCCAAAAAGCAGGGAGGCAGGGAGGAGCAGGGTGGCTCCAAAATGTATTTAACAAAAATGAAAACAAGAATACACTGGAGAAACTAACTCAATAACTCACTCAAATAAAGTCCAGTAAAATCACAAGAAATCCAAGTAGCAAAAAAACCTAAGAGAGAAAACAAAACATGACACGTGCACAAAGCAACTAACAAACAGCAACAATGACCCGACACCGAGTGGTCGTGCCAGGTGTCCTTTTAAACCAGTGTTTTTCAAAGTTTTTTGAGCCAAGGCACACTTCTTTCATTGAAAAAATCTCACGGCACACCAATACATTGAAACTCCTCTACAACGAAATCATGTTTGCAGCAAGAAATTTTTCACAACAGGGGGTATTTCACTGTAGCAAATTTGATCTCAGATGTAAGCACACACACACACCCAAACACACCCACATAGACAAACGTATGTGCACACGCACACACAAACGTATGTGTACTCTTATTTTTATTCCAATAGTGCATGAGTATGAGCACACACTTATTACTCTATTTTTATTCCAATAGTGCATAAGTATGAGCACACACTTATTTGACACTTCATATAGTCAGTGTAGAAAGAAAAAAAAGGGAAAGAAATTGCGAAATTTACGATCAGCATTCACTTTCACTTACATCAATTTCTTGGATAATATATTTTATTTTGCTTCCTCCATCTTTGATTTTGATCACTTTTCCCCTCTCTTCCAGCATCAGAGCTCTTCTTGTCTTAGCTGCTTGACATCCAAAGGTCCGTTTTGTAGCCATTTTAGCAATGCAACGTTCATGCTGCGTCTGAATCTAACAATAACTTTTCTTTCCACCATCTCACTGTCTCTAACTTGACCTCCCCTCGATCACAACCCAAGACAGTGCTGCTCAGCTGATGTCATGCAATGACCTCTTGGCCAGTCGGAGGCCAGGATGATGCTCAGTAAGCCAATGGCAGAGCAGCTACGAGTATGTTGCGTTCAGGAAACTCGGAGCGGTGACCGAAATAGACGTCGTTCACTATGTAAACCAGTGTGGTGGTTGCTGTTGCCGTTTCCGAACGAAGCAGTAGAGGTCGCTGTTGGATTAGACTTCGTTGTAGTGAATCTCTTCGCGAGGCAAGAGCAGAGAAAATGATTTCGTATAACGCAACACGGTTTTTTTTTTCGTCGTATGGAGGGCAGGAGAATGGGAATGGTGTTAATGCATGAAGATTTTTTCACATTAGGGTGTATTTTCGCCCATGTAGGTTTCGTTCTAGAGGAGTTTTACTGTAGCTGAAAATGTGAAAAAAACGCTTATTTTAACGTGTTATATTGTTACTAGAGCTGTCAAACGATTAAAATATTTAATCGTGATTAAAAACGCAACTGTCATAATTAACTCACAATTAATCGTGATTACTCACATTTTTTATCTTTTCTAAATTTCCTTTTATATTTTTTTTGTCCTATTTTTTCCTTTTTTAATGCTCTCATCAACATGGAACCATGGATCAGTTTGTGCAAAATACAAATATTTACTGAAACAATTTCGATTTTCAATTTTACATGAACATTTTTCACTTGGAGCAGTTATTCACACATAATCACTCACACAATATTACTGTCCATCAACAACAGTGAAAAAAATATTTTGTCACACAACAGCTCCCTTAACAGCTCTTTTTAGGGAATCAAAACAGAGCAATATAAAATTATAAAGTGCACATATAAGGTAAACTAGTACTCAGCCTATAGTGGATTTAAGCCATGGTTGCATACTTCGTTTTTCTCAAGTTTGCTTTGAACACAGCAGTCAGGCTATGTTGATTCTGTTGGTCCTTCTTGCGCGAAAGTCTCTCTATGGTTTTGTGTAGACATCATTTCGGATGACTACACTTGTTTCGAGGCACAACACTGGAGATGTTTTATTTTCAGTGTGGTCGCTACCACTGCACCGCTGAACTCTCGACATGCCGAGGCGCACCGTCACTGTCAGACGAACACAGAGAAGCCGCATCCCCTTTATTTATATGGACACGGAACACGGTAACCTTCTACACAAAATAGTTCCAAACAAGTCACAATCGTGTCTGTGGCATACATCGTACTCAACAGGCTACCTGCTCTTTATTCACCAGAGGCTCATCAACCTAGTCTCTTATTTCTCTCCCGAAACAGTGTCTTCTCCCGCTTGGTGTACCTTAGCCTTCTCCACTACGTACAATGTCTGTACATAGCTTGTAATGGAGGCTCTCGCTGGCAATCCGTAGTGGAGTCGTTAGACAATGCGAATGATTTCAGCTTGAGTCTAGCTGTGGACAATGTTGACAGGCTTGCATGCAGTAACCATACATTTAGCTATAGCTTCAGCAAATGTGTTCTTCGTCGTGTTATCCATTTTCTTCGGTTTGAAATTATCCATAGCTGTCTGTCTTAGACGAGGGGGCGGAGTACTCACATCAGCTGTGTGCTTGGCCATTAAGTCTTTTAGAGTCGATGTGCTATGATGATAGCTCAGTTTACGACTGCAAAACATACAGGTAACTTTGGTCTTGTCAGTGGAACCATCTGGCAACTTTTGAAAAGTAAACTTTCAATTCATAAACTCTTTAAAGATGAAGGAATAGCTCCCCCATCTAACTCTGGTGTGCTGGCCGTTGCTTTCTTTTTATTTGTTGTTGTCTTTTTATTTGAACATCTCTCTCACTTTTAATAAACTGAAAAAAAGCATATTGGCTTGTTTCAGTAAAATGCCATGTTTATGGTAGATTTTGTTGTAATTCGGAAATACACATTTGAACAATTATAAGCCCTCATTAAAATTGCATCTTGACACATTCCAAAACACCCGATGTGAAGGGTCTTTGCAACTTCATATTTGCATCCATTATTATCAGGCCGGGCGACCTGGTGGTCCAGTGGTTAGCGTGTCAACCTCACAGTGCAGAGGTACCGGGTTCAATTCCAGCTCTGGCCTTCCTGTGTGGAGTTTGCATGTTCTCCCCGGGCCTGTGTGGGTTTTCTCCGGGTACTCCGGTTTCCTCCCACATTCCAAGAACATGGATGGCAGGATGATTGAACACTCGAAATTGTCCCTAGGTGTGAGTGTGAGCGCAGATGTTTGTTCGTCTCTGTGTGCCCTGCGATTGGCTGGTAACCGGTTCAGGGTGTCCCCCGTCTACTGCCCGAAGACGGCTGGGATAGGCTCCAGCACCCCCCGCGACCCTTGTGAGGATAGGCGGATCGGAAAATGGATGGATGAATGGATATTATCAGGCCATATTCCTTTGGCCCTCTTCCCTCAACTATGGAGGAAATAAGGTTGTTGCTAACATGAGGACCACTGTTGTCATTTTGCTCGTGTCTTTTTTGGAAAAATTGTTGTTAAAGAGGTCGGAAAAGTCACCAAATTTTGAAGAAAACCTTGCTAAGTAGAAAACACCACAGACAAAATCAAAGCTCTTTCTAAAATAACAGCAAACCTTCCAAAATAAAAGCACAGACTATTTTATTTCAACTTCATGGTCTCTGTGAGGGCCAATTAGAGACTGAAGGTAGGCCAAATGTGGCCCATGGGTTCTCCTTAGGGCAGGTCTCTCGAATGAAGAGTGAGCCACAGTCCCTCAGGAGTTGTGTCAAAGTCATGGGAATCTTGCAGGATTCCCACGAACAACTTTACCTAAACTCATGGTATTGGGATGGTCCAGGATTAAAAAATTCACGAGAGCAAATGGGATTAGGATTATCCAGTCATTTATTTATTTTTTTCTTCAATTTAGCTGCCCTCCAAAATGGATTTTCGCCAAGAGTAGGACAGGACAGAATTTTATTTATTTTCATTTTAACTATGGTGCGGGATGGGGTGAGATGGGATGGGATTATTTTTCTGTGAGAGTGGGATGGGACAGGAGTGACCCCCCGTCACCCTCAAGTGCAGAGGTCGTGACCAACGATAAGAGACGTCTCATCTCTGTGCTTGGTAGGAAGGGTGTCTCCACCAAGTAGCAACTTGTGTTTTTTGGAGCGGGTCAAATACCAGTACTATTTAAATCAAGAAAATAAACATTTTATCATGTTTACTTTGAGTTGTTGTTTTTTTAATGATTTTGATGGATTTTATTGTATTAATAACATAATCAATAAACAACTATATAAATTGGAGGTTGTTAATTTTTGGAGGGTAAGTGAGCAATGATTGCTATTATTTACACCGCTGTTCATGCAGTATTACTACTACTACTATTATTACCACAACTATTACAACTACTGTTCATACACAAAGAATTTGTCTTCCTGTAACTGCTTGAATTCATAATAAAGATAAAATAACCCAGTATTAAAAGAACATCTGTAAATTTGAAACTGCATATTTTTAGGCGCGGGCGCCAGCGGCGGCAGTGGCCTCAGTGGCGACAGTGGCCCCAGCAGCGCCAGCAGTAAGTCTTGTTCTGTTTTCAATTACTTTAGCTGAGCTAGTATTCAAGATAATTATGGAGAAAGGAGTTCAGCTTTTCTTAATCCACATTTTGTGTCAACAAACAATTTGAAACCCATTTCTCCCCATGACAAGTGTGAAGGTCATTGTTGAGGTCTGTGCTTTTTTTTCAGATTCCTTTCCTTACAAGTAATTGTTATTAAACAGTGCAGATGTTGTCAGTCTGAGGAATTAATTAATTAAAATTAATTTCTCTATCTTAGTACAGTGGTACCTCTACTGACGAAATTAATTGGTTCTGGAAGAAATTTCTTAACTTGAAAACTTTGTAAGTAGAGACGTGTTTTCTATGTAAATGCCCTAATCCGTTCCAAGACCTGCAAAATTCAGACATAAATGTTTTCTCAAGCATAAAAATGCATCAAAAATGTAATAAATACATGTTACAATTAGATTATTGCACAATAATTGAGAGTTGTGCATTATGTAAAAAACAAAGAATAGCGTAAAGAATAAAAATGATCATCATTTAATTTTTAACTGCGTCCTCATCGTTTTTTGCCCTCTTTAATTCATGTTCTCTCTCAGAAGTGGTTTTTACCTGAAATTTTGTAAAGAACTGATCCAAGGACGTTTGCTTTTGTCGGCTTTTAACAATCCTTAGAAAATTTCCAAGGGTCACATCAGCATAGTGGGCCCGACCGGTGAACACTTTTTCTGGGTGATTCACATTTACGTAAAACGATCGGAGCACCTCATGGCCGGAGAGGTGAATGACGAGGATGCTGCATAGACACATCCCGATCTATCCACGCACATCGACACATTTGGTAGAGGTCCCTCTTAGCCAATGGGATGCCAGGAAGATGCTAGGTAATAGCCAATGGCAGAGCAGCTACAGGTATGTTGCGTTCAGGAAACTCGGAGCTGCGAGTAATAGACCATACTGTATTTTTTACCTTTCATATCTTGACATTTCTTTCGTAACAAGAGGCAATATTTTCCTGTTGAGGCGTTTCGTAACTTGAAATTTTCATATGAAGAGACGTTCGTAAGTAGAGGTACCACTGTACATCAATTTGAATAAGTGAATGAGTGAGAAATAGAGATTGTGTGTGTGTCTGCACTGTTCTTGTTCCGCCGTCCGCTCCAGCCATACTCTAGCTGTGCTTTCTTGCAAATACTCGAAACATTTACTCACCAAAGAGAGACACTGACTGAGCGAGTGCTTGTGTCATCCATTCTGCACAGAATAGCGGCCTAAAGAATCCATAAAGCAGGCCAACCAAACGGGGATATTCATGCCGCTCCAATTTAGTCACTCTGGTCCTGGCTTGGCCTACCAAAAAGACTTTATTTGCTGATTTTGAAACGAACCCATGGGCCAAAATAGCATCCCCAAGCGGCCCATCGGGTATTTTCTAGGACTGACAGCTGGCCCACTCCAGGCCACTCCACTCATTTTTATCCTACTTAACGACTGTATTTTAATGTTGGTGGTGTTTTGACAGTAATTTTTTTTATGTGGGGATAGTTGTGAGAAGTTATTGTTGACATAATCTTTTTCGTCCACAACCATAAAAAAGTGCAGTTGTTCTGTAAATTAGAGGCCCTTAATGGGCACGTGGGAATGAGAGTTCTGTATGTTCTCTTGACCTGACTTTTTTTGGTCTGCATTGTTTTTCAGATTCCTCTTGGTTGCCGCTTCCAGGGCCACCAGAGTTTATGACACAGAGTCTTTTATTTCGGCTGATGGTTAAACTTGAAATTGATTACGTCTTGAGTCCTGAGGAAAGAAATATAGTATTCTCTTTGAACTCTGATATCAGAAGTATGGTGTTCCATCTGAATCATGTAGTCCACCTGAAAGGTCCAGAAGCAAGTAAGAAGATGCTGTATTACTTGAGGTGTTTCGAGCCTCGACTTTTCGGTGAGTTGTAGCTTTCCATCGTGACTTTCATATGCCTATATTTATCAACCAGACAATTTACAATTTGTCCTTTTCAGGTGTGACATGTTTATTATACCTAGTTCTGTGTATATACAGTCAAACCTCGGTTTTCATCCATAATCCGGTCCTGAAGGCTGTTCGAAAACCGAAATTGTTTGAAAACCGAAATCACGCTCTTTTTAAAATAAAAATGTTTACTGAACACGTCTGCTCACAATGGAAAGCAACACGAGGAAGCGTCACTTCCTTGTCTACCCGAGGAAGCGTCACTTCCTCGTGTAAGGAAGGCGAGAGGAGTCAAATGGTGCATTCAAGTGCGTTCAGTTTGTTCAAGAACCGGACTTTGTTCGTCATCCGAGGCATAAAAAACTCGAAATTTTTGGTCGAAAACCGAATTGGTCGAGAACCGAGACGTTCGGAAAACGAGGTTTGACTGTGCTTCTTTCCTGAGTTCTCGTTGCATATTCATCACAGCAAAATGTTTCGGATTATTTAACCAATTTGAGGTTGTAAATTATGATTGATTTTTTAAATCCAATTTATTATAACCCCAACCCTGTCAACCGTGTGTTAAGTGTGATTAACCACTGTTTAGAAAGAGTTCCATTTCATTGGCCACACCCAGGCCTGACAATTGTCAAATCTGTTGAATCAAGAAATCACTTAAATAGTACATTTTTAGACAAAATGAAAGGGTCTACAATGTCTCAAAAAGAAACGTTCAGCATAATGCCTTAATCCAAAGAAATCTAAGAACAATCGGGAAAGTGGTTGAAATCTATCAGTTTGGAAAAGGATACAAAGTCGTTTCCAAGGTTCGGGACTCAGTCGAGCCTCACTGAGTGCACATCTACAAATGGAGAAAACTGGGAACCATTGTGGTCCAAGTGGTGCCATGTCTGTCTGTTTGTTTTGTTTTGTTTTGTTTTGTTTTGTTTTCAGCCCCAGCTGGAGTGAAGGGCGTTTCCCTATCGTAGGCGCACCTGTTATGCATTTACCAATCAAGCCTGCCATGTATTTAATTTAAGGACTGCCAAACTGCCTAGTCTCTTGTCAGATTATTAATCTTCCTTGCTGTAGTGCTTCAAGCATTGTTTTCGAGACCTCTCGATACTCTCCATATTAGCTCTCGTTATTCATAGAATCTACTTTCTCTGGTATTTTTATTTTTTCTTATTGCTCTTGAGCTTTGGTTTCGCATTATCTTGATGTTTCGTTTCATTCTTGGTGTTCCCGATTACCTTGCCTTTTGCAAGCGCTTTTGTTTATGCGTGGTTTCTCCTAGGTCGTTGTGATCAGCGATTTGGGTTTTTACTTTGTCAGTGCACTTTTCTGTCATTCAATATTTATGTTTTCGCACTTTGTCTGAGCCTGCATTTCTGGAATCCAAAAACATTATTCGGTTCGGTCCAGAACGTGATAAGTGGTCGCCCAGCAAAAAATTACTCAAGAATGTATTGACAATTCATCCAGGAGGTCAAAACAGACTACAGAGGGTATCATGTAGCAAAAAAACAAAAACAGTAACAGTTTAAAGACAACCACATCTCACATATCACAGTAAACAAGTACCTACAGGTCGAAGGGAATCAAGCCAATCCTACCTACTACTGCTACTGCTATGAACACAATATTCATAACAAACTGGGATGTGTCAACCGATTCCCCTCCTTTCCACAGGGCACTGCCTTGTTGAGCAATACAAAGACATGCTGGTTGACCTGGTGAGAGATGTTGACGCTCTAATAAAGGTTCTCAATATGAGGTGGGGAGTTGCTGTAAGTGATGAGATCAAAGCCATCCACAGCCCTCAGGAGAAGATGTCAAAGGTCATTGATAATCTGAAATCTGTGGAACAAAAACGGATCTTCTACAGCGTCCTTGAGGAACGGGAGCCACAAGCACTTGACACAGTATTCAGGAAAATGTAAGTCTTTAAACCAGTGAAAGGTTTTTGGGATGTGAATGTGTGAGGCCAATTCCTTGATTTTGCTTTAGACGTAAAAGATTTGCGTTTCACATGTAAGACAGGAGAACATTAATTCCGTTTTTATTTCCAGGAATTTACATGTGCATATGCCAAACACACACAAACACAATTTATCGGTTTATTGCACACTTATTATGAATCCACACATTTTTCCTGTGCACAGACAAGAACACTTGAGTGGAATGCACCAGTAACAGCTTTCAAAGGGCAAGCGTGTGTGTGTCACAATCTGTTTTCAGAAGACTTATTGAACAAGGTTCAGTCAGCAGACAAGCGACAGTTTCATCTGCGTTGTCACTTCCTCGCTTGTGAATTTACTTCTTTATGAACTTTGGCATCCAGGGAAGATTCCTATTGTGTGTAGGTGGTATAGTCTATCTCTTGGTAGTTAGCTAACCGCACTACCAAAACACCCCACTTGGGAGTTTATTCCACTCTGATATACACGGACCCAGTCCAAATTATGCCACATTTTACTAGGGGAGTATCACCATGAAGTTGGCTGTATTGCATTGACCTTGTTGCGATCAGACATGTGTGATGCTGACCATTTAGCAGGGCCCATGCTATGCTCAGAGGTGCTGCTAAAGGTTGTATCAGAAGCTCAGACTTTTGTCATTTGATTTGACTTTTTATTTGGTCTCCCATAGGAGAAACTTGTCTCGGAGGACATGCCCTCCTTGCTGCTACATGCATTGAACAATACATACACATACGCTACACCACATACATTGGACAATACATACCGTACCGGACGATATATACTCATATATACTCGACACAATGGACGGTACATCACAGTCATATGCACACCCCACACTGCCCTCATGTCCTCCAACGGCAGAATAAGTTGTTTGAGATATGCAGTGAAAATCTTAAATCTACAAGGGCATACACACCAAACACAATTTTTTACATACCATAGTATGAGTTTGTAAGTTTTTCTTCTATTCTTTCAGGGAAACTGATCCATCATCCAAACACTTTGAAATGTTCACAGTACGTACATCTTCGACCAAATGTTGATTGTCTTCCCTTATTTTGATTCTTGACAGGATCCCAAAAATAACAATGAAATTGTTAACAAATTTGATTCCATGAAAATTAAGTCTAATCTAAATCACATCATCACAATTTGATTTTTCATTCCTTTACCCAGGCGGATTGGCTTACTGGAATTGTAACAGTTGCCGAGGATCAATGGTCTATACTTGAGCCGGAAATGAGCCATGTTGGTGGCTGTACGTGGTACAGGTGAAACTTGTTTTCAGTACTCTCCTTGGACGCTGAAGGAAACAAATTAACCTGTTCCAGTCGATAGATTGTAAAACAATATTCTTCAGATGTTTTTCTTTTGTCTATTTTCTCTCTTCTTTTTTTTAAACACACATACACACACACACACACACACACACACACACACACACACACACACACACACACACACACACAAACCAATGCAGGGAAACTTGTGTTTTTTGCTGCGTTAATGATGTGAAGTCAGCCGCTGTTAGAATTGTGATCGGAAGAAGCATTTGTGAAATTCTGGCTGGCGGCTAAACACACAACAGTTTGCTTCCGCAGGGAAAAGACCATTTTTTTTTGGGGGGGGCGGGGTTGGGGCTGTATATAGCCAACCGTAACCTGTAAATTATTCTGACGTCTAATTAAGGGTTTTAAAAAATTAATAATTTTTAAAAAAGGGCGGCCTGGTCGTCGAGTGGTTAGCTGCACGTCGACTTCACAGTGCAGAGGTACCGGGTTCAATTCCAGCTCTGGCCTCCCTGTGTGGAGTTTGCATGTTCTCCCCGTGCTTGCGTGGGTTTTTTACTCCGGGTCCTCCGGTTTGCTCACACATTCCAAAAAGATGCATGGCAGGCTGATTGAACACTCCAAATTGTCCCTCGGTGTGAGTGTGAGTGCGAATGGTTGTTCGTCTCTGTGTGCCCTGCGATTGGCTGGCAACCAGTTCAGGGTGTCCCCCGCCTACTGCCCGAAGACGGCTGGGATAGGCTCCAGCACCCCCCGCGACGCTAGTGAGGATAAAGCAGTTCGGAAAATGAATGAATTTTCAAAAAAACTATTAACTATCGCAATGAGTTACGCACAGAGCGATGGTGGTCAAATCTCTCTGCTTATGTATGCTGAGACGGTTCACATTACGAAACATGCACACAACTAGAGACATACTTTCTACAAAAATGTCGGTAACGTTCTTACATTTTGTTTGCTTTATTACCGGTAGTTTTTCTTTCTTGGGTGTGAGATTGAAAAATGGTCATCCTATTCATTATGAAATAAAAACAAAACGTATCATTTAAAAAAAAATAACAAGCAGATGAACAATTATCCACCAGTCAAATATCACAGACTGCAGACTTCGAAATGCAATAAGAGTGATGTGCAAAATACTGCTTCTTAAGTGAGATGCATCAAAACATGCAGTAAAAATTCATCAAACACAGGCTGTTTGGGCTTTGTTTTTATATGTTAAACTTTTATGTACATAGCCTTAAAACGCATCTACCATGTAGCAAATTATGTTAGATTGAATTAGATGGATAGAATAAAAATGCTTGTGGCTTATTTAGCTGAAATTTATCCCAGTTGTGATAGGTACTGTTTGTTTATACATGAACAAGGCCCAAGCATAAAAAAATATATATACTGTGTGTATGGATGGATGGATGTATGGATGTAAACATTTTCTTACAAACAATTGACAGTTTTTTGAAATAGTGTACAGAACGTTTCGTCGACATTGTGGATTTTGTCATATCGAAAATTTGGCGAGCTGTATGGCGATAAGGCGAGCTGACAGTCCCTTGGTCAATCAGGACGCAGAACACAATGCACTGTAAAAAAAAAAAAAATTTAAATTCTGTGAAACAGCGAAGCCGTGACAGATGAACCGTGTTATAGCGAGTGATGACTGTATTGAAGTTATTTTGAGTTAGTTTTTTCGATGTAAGTGTACTTTGAGTAATGCTCTTGTCAACACTCTTCTTTTGTTTTCCTTATGTTTTGTCAATTGTAGTTTTTGTTATTCCATTCATTTTCGTTAACCATATTAACCTGGTGTCTGTCCCACCAGCTTCTGCTGCGTACCAGGTAAATTTGAGTGCCGTGTCTCGGGTCTGCGCTGGATTTGTAAGGATTCGCCTTTGAGTTTTCAGTACCGCTTTGGCCAATGGTGTGATCACAAGGACACAACGGAGGCCCTCCAGTACATGGCTGCAGGCCCCCTACTGGACATCACAGTTAATGATGGGCAGTTTGATGAGGTCTATCTGCCACACTGTATCTGCACAAGTAAGAGAGGATGGATGCAATGAAAAGACTTTGTCTGGTGGTGTGCAAATTAGCAATGGTGCATTTTCTCTTGTGCAGCTGTTGATCCTACAATATTGGAGAAGTTTGCAGTTCTGCATTCACATATTGATGGAGTTAGTGTGGAAAACGTGTCCGACGTCACGCCATCCCATGTCAAGCTACCGCATACAGATTTCTCTGAAAACGGACCACTTCTCCGGTTTTGGCGCTGGGCTGGCTTCCCGGTGTTTTTGGAGTGCAAAGTGTTGATATACAGGACCAAGAAAACATTCCTCACACTGCATGTTTATCTGATACCGAGCGACTCTGCTCTGGAAGCGGTAATTATGTCTTTGGATGGCACAGGTGTAACTGCTGTCGTCAAAATTTTCTTGTTTCAACTTTTGAAGATGGAGCGTCTTTGTTACTATCGTGTGCTTCTCCATCACAGGAACTACAAAAGAAGGCAGAAAAGCAAGGTTATGAAAGGATTGAGAAGCCTTACCCCCAAGGGACCTTGGAACTGGATGCCCAATTCAACCTCAAAACCCATGGTGACGATTCAGCAATAACCCCGAAGGTATGACTTAACTGCCTTTTACAGGAACTCAACACAATTCATAGGTCGGCTTCCAAAGGTCTCCTCTACAAGCCTCACACCATGTACCTCACTGCCATACATTTTGTCACTGTGAACAAACCACCACTGTGAACAAACTGTACTCCCTGTTTTGAGGCCCTTTGTTCCCTCACACAGACAACTTTGGTGGCCCATGTTTATCAAGAAAACACTCTGCAAATTGTACAGGCACCTGAAATGGTCAACAGTGCTGATATTTTCACTTGACTTGAATGGTTGTTTTTGTTTCTTTAACTCGGAATTCTTTTGTATTTCTCTCACAGGATTTTAGGTTCAAATATGAAACTCGGGATCCGAATTTCTTTGAGGTGTTCATTGAACGACCAGGGCCTTCATTCACTCTCACACTTGAAAATGCAACTAGAATAGTGTGGAGCTGTATAATTCGACAATGTGCGTGCTGATCATTTTTTAAATACAGTGATCCCTCGCTATTTCGCGGTTCATTTATCGCGGCTTCAGTGCATCGCGGATTTTTTCAAACATATTCATAATAGATAAATAAATAATTCATATACATGGAGTACAGTACTCTATATGTTGCTCTATGTTGCTCTATGTGACTCGCTGTTGTTTGCGGACTTAAAAAAAAAAA